ATGCAGGCGGGATAAGCGGTGCTCTGGTTTTGCAGCGGCGCTGCTGGGACCCCGGCTGAGCACACCCTCCTGCCCTGGGTGGGGGAACTGGTTCTGTACGGCACGCTGGCAGGCGGGGGGCTCGGGGGTGGCAGGACAGGCTCCAGCTGGCGCTGGGTGCTCCCCCTCACTCACCTGGTGAAACCTCACGAGGATGTTGGAGAGCTGTATTCTGTCGGGCAGTGGCAGAGGGAAACCCTGCCCTAACCTGCCTGGAAAAGACAACATGCATGGCCGTGTTGGGATGGGAGCAAGAGGGATCAAGGCCGTGCAAAGCAGGCGGCCACCTCCTCCTCCCCCCCTTTCTTCGTCCCTGCTGCTCCCGGGATAGGCAGAGGAAATTCCTCCCAAGCTCCACAGAAGGGCTGGGGGCTGCATGTTTTGCTGTGCCACCCCCCCCAGGCCTCCAGCAGCCACCAGCCCCACTCTGGCCCACGCTGCTGGGGAGTCCTGAGAAGCAGCGAGTGGGGGAGAGGGTCTGGAAAGCATTAGGATGTGCGTCGTGCTCATTTTTTCCATTGTGTTCACTGCTGGATGCATGTCACGGCGCCGAGAGGCTCCCGCACGCTGCTGCTGCCCGCAGCCTGCCTCCGCCGGGTGCTTTTACTGCCGTCTCCTGCGCTCGCTGCAGGCTTTACCCACCGATCAGGCTTGGCAACAGGGATTTAATTAGTGAGCTGGGCTTGCTTGGACAGAGCGACCTGGCCGGTGACTACTCCAGCACCCCCATTCCCCCCAGCAGGTTCTCACCATTAACACGTGGGAGCAGGATACTGGAAGCATAGATGTTCATTATGGACTGCAGCATTCGCACCTGGGGAACAGGGAGAGGGGGAAGGAAAAGAGCTTTAGCCTGCAGGAGAGGAGGTGACCAGGCACTGGAGGATAATTAGGAAAAGAAAAAGAGATGAGGAGCTGGGACAGGCACATCCTTCACCAGAGACCAGCAGCTTTGTCTGGCTGTGCTGGCAGGGTAGGAAGCGCAGGGGTGAGAGAGGCAATGGCATCTGGCTCTGCATCCTCTCCCAGTCTTGCAGGCTGAGGCAGGAGGTGTCTATGGGGTCAGCGTGGGGTCCTGGGTGCACCCCCAGGTCCTTTGCTGGGGGTCGGGGGGAATGAGCCCACTCCTTGGCCCCCAGCAGGCTCTCGCCCCCATGCTGGGGGCTCTGGTCAGAGTCAAGGATAACTTACCTGGAAAGTACCAACATCCGAATGCTTCAAAGAGAGCTTCATCCTGCACAGAGACAGAAGCCGTCTGAGGGAGCACCCGCCGATGGCCGTGCAGATCCCGCTCCCTCCAGCCCCAGCTCACTACCCCGGGACCTCCCCACCTCACCTCTGTCCCCGGGAGCCCAGAACAGAAGCCCCCCCAGCCACCCCTGCCCGGTGGTGGCTGTGCTCAGGGCAGTGGGCAAGCGAAGCCCCGTGCTGCTCCCCCTCCGTACCTGCCCACCTTCAGGCTCCCGACGATGTGGCCGGATTTCACGTCGATGACGGCGGACACGTTGCCTGTCTGGGGAGAGAGTGCAGAGCTCTGGCCGTGCTCAGCCCACCTCACCCCAAACCAGGCACCCGGGGGAATGGCTCCGACCAGCTGGAACGCAGCGGGACTGCTGCCCGTCCAGGGGCGTGCTCGCGTGCAGCGTTAAACCTGGCATTTGTCAGCTCGGGTATTTTTTGGTTGGGAACACCCCCGCTGCTCCAGGACTGGGCTGGTTCTGGCCAGCAACAGGCACCTCCCCTGGCAGGAGCTCCTTAGCAATGGCTCAGCGTTGCTGAACGCAGCAGGAGGACGATGCACAGCTCAAACTCCCATCTTTGCCCTGGGGAGGTGCGGGGGAGGACTCCCCGACGCACCGCGTCAGCTAGAGCTGTGGCTGCACCCGGAGGTGCCCAGCTGGGACTGCGGTCACTGTGCCCAAACTCACCAGGCTGAGGAGGAAGAGGGGAGCCAGGCTGGAGCTGGGAAGGATGGCGTAAGCCTGGATATCCACGACAGGCTTGAGCGAGAGTCCCTCTGGTCCGATGCTCAGGAATGGGGCCGAGGGGGCGGACAGCCTGAGCTTCATCAGCATGTTTGGGTACATCTCCTCTAGCTGCAGAGGAGCAGGGAGAGGGTAGGGACAGCGGCACAAATCCACGTTCCTGGGGGAGACCACCTTGCACAGAGCAAAGCCTGTGCGGGGCAGGAGCTCTGTGGAGGCGCTGGACCACTCACCTGGGGAACAAAGGCTGAGAAGGTGGAGGTGTTCAGGTGGAACTCAACGTCTTTTGGGATCTGCGGAGGGACAACAGTCACACCGGGGTGACGTGGCATGGCCGAGCCCACGGTGGGATCAGCCCTCCCGCCCCCACACACTGCCGTGCCCGGCGGCCCCGGCCCCATCCGGCAGCCCCCAGCTCGCAGCCCCCGGGCAGCTCGCTGCGGGAGTCCTGCGGGGCCGCAGGCTGCCACCGGCGCTCCTCTGCAGACCGAACCCGCGGCCACGAGGCGCAGGGACAGCCCCTGTCCCGCCTACGCTGCTCACCATGGAGTCCGTGATGTCGAAGACCAGCACCCCGGCTGCGTGGTAGGCGAGGCCGGCGGTGTTGAAGAAGTAGCTGGAGGCCCCGAAGTAAACCATGCGGTCGTGGTCCGGGGGGAAGGCCAGCGGCAGCGGAGGGAAGGGGACGGCGGAGCGGTGGGCCAGGGAGAAGAATTCGCCCTGGGAGGAGGCGAGAGAGGTGAAGCAGGAGAGCAGAGGGTGGTGGGACTCGCCCGCGGACGTGGGCTGGCAAACAGCGCTTGCAGGAGATGCCTAAACCTGGTTCCCCACCCGCCCGCGGTGATGGCGTCAGCCAAATCGAGCTTCAGCGGCACAGCCTCTCACCTTCAGGTCCGCGTCCAGGGACTGGGCGGTAGCCGTTGGGGGTGCCACCAAGGAGTAATCGATCCCAGCCATGGCATCTATCCTGGCCGTGACTGTAAAACACGAGGCAGACGGATGAGCGAGAGGGAGATGGCGCGGGAAAGCCGGGAGCCGATTGCCTCTGCCGACGTGCAGGCAGTGCCGTGCCCGGGCTTCCTGGTGCAACGGCTTCATACCAGCTTCATGTGTGCTCGCTTCTGTTTAGAAGCAAAAATTCCCGTTTCCCTCCTGACTCTGCTCCTCAGCCGTGCAGCCTAACTCCTGGACCCGCGGAGTGGTCTGGGTCCCCAGGCCAAGCCCCCCGCCAGCTCCAGGGCACGGCTCGATGGAGGCTGCGCGCAGGCGAGCGGTCCCTGCAGCCGGACGGGGTGCACAGGGACAAGTCTCTGCTGATGTGTGCTGCCCAGCTCCCAGCTTGGGTGCCGAAACAGAAGGAAATGGGGAGCGGGCACAAGGTACAATGCTGTCCTCGTGGCTGGGAAATGTGAGGAAGAACTGCTCCTAACACCCCGTGCAGCCCCGCCTGGTACCTGGCAGGGTCCGGAGGTAAGGCTGGAGGTCGCTGCGCACAGAGCTGGCCGCGGTCTCACAAACCTGCGGGCGGGAAAGGCAGCGAAGCTGAGCAAGGGCAGCTCTGCCAGGGGCGGCCAGTTCGCATCCCCCGGGTCAAAGCCTCGGCTGCGCTCCCTGCTTTGCTGCACGGTGCTGGTTTTATTCCTTGCAGAAGCCTGCGTAAATACAAGAGCACACGGTGGTGTTTGTCTGTTCGTCAGGCAGCGCGTTAATTAAGTGTCCCAGATAGAAGCAAGGTTTATACCTGCCAACGCCTGCTTGCAGCCAGCTCCCCATGCACGGTTCAGCTCCATGGAGGCCCTTGGAGGGAATCTCACGTGTGCCCTCAGAATTTTCCTACAGCCCATGCTGGAATGAACTGTGCTGAGCTGCCGAGGCTTAGCCGAAGCAGAGCAACTGAAAGAGTCAACCCAGCCCCGCAGGGGCAGGAGCACTGATGGCACCGACAAAGCAGAGCTGCCCCGAGTCCCTACACCTCCGTGCTGCCGGGACGCAAGAGCAAATCCCTCTGCCACTGCCATCCACGGGTGAAGCCTCGGCAATAGCGAGGGATTTAATTGCAGGCTAGACACTTGCCCAGGAAATTTACTGCTGGGCACAGTCCTGCAGACGGCTGAGAGGATCTGCACAAGCTCTCTTCCAATGCCTCCCCCGTAACGGCACAGAGAGCACCCGGCAGGGTCAGGCCATCATCTGTCTGACCGGGCATCCAGCCTGCAGCAGCTGACGGCGAGACGCGGAGCTCGGGAGGAGCAGCGACCACGCTGACACCAATGCAGCCGCTGGCTGTGCAGCGCCGGGGAGGAAGAGGAGGGTCAGAGCCCTGGGCAGGGCCTTATCGACAGCGGGTGGCTGCTGTTCCCTGTGCCCAGCCGATATCCGTCTGCCTGTGCTGGAAACGCCCCATCGCTGCCCGGGAGGACGGAGCTGCAGATGGGCAAACGCAGCCTTGATCCCAGTGACTGGGATCTCCCAGTGACTGCGTCCCCCTGGCACTGGAGGCACGAGGGCTGCCCAAGCGAGAGCAGGAGGCACACACGGGCTGCCAGGGCTGGCTTGGGACTGGGCTGTGCCTCGGGGTGCCGGTGCAGTGCACTCCCACCCCTGCCCTCTCCTGCCCTTCGCCCCTCGCACCGTCTCACACACCGAGAAATGTGCGGGGGGCAAAGGGGGCTCGGAGCAGGTACAGAGGGCACCAGGGGTCCCCTTGGAGTCCCAGAGCTGCCCTCCTTCCAGGAGACAAAGCAGCAGAAGAGGCCTTCGAGCCCCGGTCTCCCTCCTGCTGCCAGCCCATCTGCCGCCACAGCCCCCAAGGGTCTTGGGAGAGCCACTACATGGCATCGGGAATAGCGCCCGGGCAGGACGGGGTCTGCTGCGGGAGTGGGATTTGCCTGTTCTCCAACTGCCTCCTTCCTGAGCAGGGTTCACATCCAGGGAGGCTGCAACTCGTGCCAGTTAGCCTTGTAGTAATTATTGCTAACAGCTTGTTTCCATGTCTTGTTGCAGTCTCCTGCATGTAGGCTGTTGTACCGGGCGGCCGGCACGGGGCCTCCCTGACGCACCCCATTAAAACAAGACGGGAAGTGTCTGAAAGCCAGAAATGAGACTCTCCCCCCGCAGTGCTCCCCCAGGCACACAGGAGTGCCGCCGTTCCCAGGACAGCTCTGGTCAGGTTTCCTCTGTTACAGCGAGTTTGGCCGAGGCATAATATCTAATTAACTGACCACATGGAAAGAAAAGCCTTTGTTAATTAGGAACCAGTCAGGCTGGGCTTTGGCAAAGGCTGCAGGTTTCAAAGTCAGCCTGAGCCACACGATGCTACGGAGGCTGCAGTTAGCGATGCCCGTTCCTCCGTTTTTCACCAAACTGGCAGCACCCCGCTGTGCTCTGGCTGTAGTTAAATCCCTCCGTGTGCTCCCATCCTTCCAGCACGTCAGCTACACGCGAGGGCTGAAGCCCACCAGAAGAGCCCTGCACCGCTTCGCCTCGTACCTTTCTCTCCAGGATATTCCGGAATCTGGACTCAACAGCGCCATAGAAGAGGTTGTAAAGCCATCTGCAGAGGAGAACAGAGAGGAGTCCTTCTGGCTTTGGCTGAGAGGCTGCTGCAGAAGGATTTACCCAGAAAAGGGAGGCACTGGAGATGCGGGACACTGGGGGACATCATTCCCATACCAGTTTGGCTCTGGCTTTGCCTCAGGGTTTACATTTGCAAACAGACCTGCTTGTCAAGTACATGCACCAAGTGTAGTGACCGCCTTATCCCTTAAACGTGCGGCCACAGCAGGACAAACCCAGGCTGGATTTCAGTCCCTCCAGGTGCACATCTGGGTGAGAAGGATATCACAAGAACCCAGAGGCAGCTGACCAGCGGTGTGCCGGTGCAGGCAGCCCGCGGGCAGGACGGGCAGCCTCCAAGGGACCGCAGACGTGCCAACACCTTCCTCCTTGCCCCAGGGCCTGGAAGCCGCGCTCCCATGGCAGAGGGGCTAACACGCAGCGTTCCCAGGCCTCGCAGTGAAGTTACGTACCCAAGCTTGCCCGAAAAGTGTACCCGGACTTTGGAGATGCGGGTGCTGCAGTCAGAGGTGTCAACGGTGGGTTTCCCGGAGGCGTCGCTGCCCAGCTTCAGGTTGATTTTGATATAGACATTCTCCACCTTCAGGTCAAATGCACCGTGGTCCCGGCTGCAGGGGGGGGGAGGACGAGACGGGGACACTTCTCAGTGCTGGGTCCTGGGGAAGGGACCCCAAACCAGCTGTGGGATGGACCTATCTAGCTCAGGCTCTCCCTTGTAGTGAGCACTCAGAAGAGTTTTTAAACTCGGGGAACCCAAATTTCACTGGAACATAAACTAGGAGAGGTAACCGTTAAACAGAGAGGATCAAGAGCAAGCAGGGGGGATGGAACAGAGACAGGAGAGTTCATGCACCGCTCCTCCATCGTCCACCTTGTCCTCGCCTCCCTCCCTGCTTGATCCACCTCAGCGGCCGTACGAGTGGCACCTCTGCCCACCCCCGGTCCCAGCTCAGGTCTGTCCCTGCGGGTGCTCAGGAAGGTGCTCCCCAGCGCGAGCAAGGACGAGGGACCGTCCCCCACACCCCAGGTGCCACAAGAGGGGAGATGGCTTTCACCTTGTCTCCCCAACAACCTGCAAGCAGGTCAAACCCTGCCTGGCCAGCTCCGAGGGCTCCTGGTGTGCACCAGGAATACAGCGGCTCCAGCCCGGCTGCAGGAGAGACAAGTCAGCACATCTGGAGAGAGCAAAGCAACAGCTGCCCAGACACAAGGGAGAGGAGAAAAAAACTCTGTCCAGACCCAGAGAAGAGGCAGAGCGAAGCGCCCGAGCAGGGAGAGGGGGAGCTGGGCACGCACATGAAGTATATCTTCACCCGCCAATTCCCATCCACCTCGGCGAAAGCATTGGAGATGGCGACCTGCAGGCCCACGTTGGGGACCAGGGAAATCCATGAATACGGCAAGTGGAAACTGCGAAGGTCCAAGCTGAAGATAAACAAATAAAAAATAAGAGAAAAGGCACTTGAGGCGGGGTGCCTCACCCCTGGGCACGCGGCTGGGGAGGAAGGAGCAGGGCCACCACCCTGGCAGCATCCCCAGCTCCCATCCTGCCGTGGCGAAGCGATGCCTGGCAGGGACACGCAGAGCAAAGCTTTGGAAACGGGGTCCCTGCAGCCCCCCGGACAGCAGCGCGAAACCCCGCGCAGCCGGAGTGGAGAGGTGCAACGGGGCAGCGAGGAGCTGGGCTCTCCGCAGGGGCTGGGCTCCTGCTCCACGTGGGGGACGGGCACCCTGCTCCCGCCGGCAAGGCCACCTCGGCTTCGATTGTGCAAAATCCGCCCGCACCCAGAGTGCCACCACCCCAGCTCCCTTTTTCCCCTTCAGGCAGGGAAGGAGCAGCGTCTCTGCCTGCACTGATGACAGGGCCAACATTTCTGGGAGCTGTGGAGGGGACAGGATGGTCCTCGCTGTGCCGGGGGCTCCTCGTCCTCCCCCACCCCCCCTGCCCCTCGCGTGGGCTGGGGGGCAGCGAGCCGCTCCGGGGTGCCGCAGGGCTCACCTGGAGATCTCATAGTGCACCTTGCCCACGTGCCGGATGCGAAAGTCACCCGAGATGTCTGGCAGCTTCAGCTGGGCCAGCTCCTTCTCCAGGACCGCGATCCCCTGCTGATGGGCTGCAGGGGCAGAGGGAGAGCGTCACGGCCACGCACGTCCCGCGGGAGCTGGGAGCATGTGCCAGGCACGCAGCGAAAGGGTTAAAGGAAACCTCCAGGCGATGCCCTGGCTGCTTTCCACCTCCCAGGCTATCGTTAAAGCTAATCTCGGTGGGCAGAGCCCTGTGAGCACATGGGCTGCCCGACACCTGCCCGCTTGCAAGCCCCAGGGGAAGGTGGTGGCCAGGCAGGGGAAGCGGGATGGGGTCCCCTCTCGGTGCTGCGCGGTGTTCGGGAGGTCCTGGGCACTGCGCCACTCCGCACCCAGCGCCGGCGGGCAAAGCTGGATGGAGCACACGTCCCAGGGAGCAGCACGGAGCGAGCGGGTACTGTGTCCCTGCATCCGTCTGGGAAGGGGAGTCACGTCCTCCTCTCCCGCATGGCTGGCGGAGCTGCCGGGTAAATGAGCTGTTTCTCACACAGTGTATTTCAATCCATAACAGCGCTCCGCCGGAG